AACCAGTTTTGATGTTTGTTTACGGAAATTGTCAATGAAAAAGGTATAGGTACAGTAATTATTTTTAAGCAATTGAGTATAAACTTACTTAATTCTTGGACTGACGTATTTTCTGGTGTAGGTGCTTTTCTTGTTAATGTTGATTTGGAGAAAGCAAACATTGTCGGAACAGCATTACATTTTAGTACACGCTTTCCATCTACGCGGGTCTTTTCCCACATCTCGGGACCAAAGTGGACCTACAGAAATAACTAGTTATTTAATAATATATGTACTCCATGTTAATTAAGAAGTGTAAAAGTTATCTCGTAGGACATGATTAAATAAACTTAGAATAAACTTACTTCGCATAAGCGCATTGCATCAGTTGGTTGCCAGTTGCCTTTTTTCATTTTGATTATCCATTCCATCCATTCCTGCTTTCTTTTTGGGTCCCTCGGAAATCGTTTCATCAAGAAACCTTTCTTTGCGGAATTGCTGCATCCTTCAGCGGCACACCCACCCATTATATCTAAAAACTAGACACATGTCCTTCGTCAAACAAACAAAATTGTATTACCCAATTAAGAAAATACTTACATTTCTATTAACTTTTAACACACTAAACTACGTCTTTACGTAGAACCGATTATTTGCAATACAAATTTTAGTTTAAACAGCACCTTTAATGACAAATTTCGTNAAAATGGGTGGTCACGGATAGAGGGCACTGTAGTCGTGGGTGGGTATGTGAATCTCGGGGTAAACTAAAGTCGTATGAACACCACTCGGATCACGTAAAGAGTAGCTTTTATGGTAACCGCGTAGTACGGGAAGCTTTAAATACTCTTGATTATCTTCTATACGTCCACAAATAAGAATAGGTTTGCTTTTTTTGGCATATCTAGACGATTAATTAATTGACGTTTGTTAATTTATAGGTTAAGACAGTCTCAAATCGTGTCTAATCGGACAACTTCGGACAGACTCGTTTACCCTGAAACTCACATACCCAGGCGATGTCCTTGACTATATTTTAGTTACAATTAGCAGTCCATGTACTATATGGTCTAAAGGATCTATCGTTGTGTACATTCTCGTAAGACGGCTACTGTACCCCGAATCGTTTCGTAATTTTGTTTGGATCGAAAATGGGCATGTCCACGGATTTAGAAAAATGGAAATCTAGCAATGTCGGTTGGTGATTCGAATTCTTGCTTTTGTCAAATCAAATCAAATGTCAAAATGGGCTACAACAGCTGCCCCATCCACCGTATTCTCCAGATTTGCCCGGGCAATTTCTTTTTATTTTCCAACTTGAAAATTTTGTCTAATAGGAGGTCATTGGCCGCCCGGAGTCCTTCTTTGCAGAATTCGAGAAAACGTATTTTTCAGACGGGTTAAAGAAGCATCGCTGAGTCAAGTGTATCGACGTAAAAGGAGACTATGTTTAAAAATAAATCGCCACTTTTTGTAGGATAAGTACTTGTCGGATCGCCCTCGTAATTATGGCACTTGCAGCCTCTTCCATGACGAAAATCTCGATATTGGCGTAAATTGTTTTAATTTAAGAAGCTCAGTGGCCTTGACTGACTTCATTCAATTCCAAAGAGTATTTAAACAAAATTTTAATAACACTTAATATAATCATAGGTACCACTAGAGAAAACTTGAGAACTCTTATCTAGGTCGTAATTTGGGCTCGATGAATCACAGAAACAATCATTTACAGATGAAACAAATTTATTCGACTGAAAACAAGCTGAAAGAAAAACGGGCGCTCAGGGTCAGATAAAACACCACGCAACAAGCGATCTATTAAACAAATTAAATTTAAATAAAGTTTTAATTACTTTAAATTAAATAATCCTTATCACACAGCCATAATTGCTATTTTCAACAAACAGACGCACTAACACATGAAACAATCACCATGCTTCGGAACCTCACTCCTTTGACTTCACTTACAACTTGATTTAGACGACACTGACTTGTTTGTAATTACAATTGTAGTTTTGGCCTTTTGGTGGTGGGCAGAACTCCCTCTAACTGATAACTTCAAGACCTTCTCTTAAGCGACAAACAATCGATAACCACAGCAATACGCTTCCGTTTAAACCGATCGCTTAAATAACGACGTATTAGATAAATCTCCTATTCCACTACAACTGACTTTCTCGTAAACTTCACAATTAAACAAGACTGACCGTCTTTTCAAAAACCCTCGATAATGACAAACAAATACGCCCAAATACGCTACGTTTTAACGTCCAAAAATACTCGATTCGCGTCTTTTACCAAAAAAAGCAACGACTAAAGTCTTTAAAACATTTTTCCTGTTTATTCACTTCCTTCCTCATTCCTTTACAAAAATTATCTTCCGTCAGCCCTTATTTTGAAACTAATTAACTTCTTATCTACGACCGGAGAAACTTTTACAAACACTACGCAAATAATTTCGAATTGTTTAAATCTAGTCTTTCAATACGTAATTCAAATTTACAATCACCAAAACAAAACAATTATTTCAACAAAATCAAACAATGTAGTTCTGATACATTAAAATTGTCCTCGAACTCAACCTATATGATCGAGATCGAAAACATTACGTACACATAACAAATCGGACTCGCTTAACTGCTAAACTCATTCTGAATTAGTGTAACCTTTTTAGTTGTGTCGACAAAAAGTTTTCTTCGCCATCAGCTCGCTCTTACTTGAAATGAAAGCCGGGCCATCTCTCTCTTTTGCGCGCATCCTTCGTCCAATTCGTGCAATTTGAATGCCTAAGATTCGCGGTAAAACATTCCAGTGGCGTAGCGTTTTTCTATTTAAATGAAATGCATAAAAGCGGAAACGATTGTAATTTAAAATTGCCAGATACTGTAATATCAGATGTGTTTGAATATTCAAATCTTTGGCCCTTTTTAAACGGGCTTCAGGATGCTTGGAACTATTTGCTAATAGCTAAAACAAAAAAATATCTATGACACAGCACGTCTGTAAAATAATTCAAAACGTGTTATTAAATACAGTGTGCAGAGGAAATGGTAAGCGATTTGGACGATATTTCGCGGAAAGCATGAAACAAAAACGAAGATCTTGTCTGATAAATTTTTGTTTTCTATGGCAAACTTAAGCATGTTAAAAATGTAGCTTTAGTTTATTTTTTTTTTTGCAAAAACTACAAGAACGTGTGATATTCTTGGAAGAAGAATCAAATGGCAAACAATTTTTACTTTCATTAAAATTAAAGTTGTAAATCAGCATATGCATGATACGGATCAGTATTTTATTAGCAAAGTTTAAACTTATCGATCTCACGAGTAATTTAACTCAAAATAGACTAAAGCCTGCACATGTACACTATAGCGGAAAGCTTTTAGTGAAAATTTGAAGTCTCTATCTATTTTAATTGCTGAGATCTCAACCAGTCAGCCAGACAGCCAGCCATAACGAATATAATATCGCATGCGCTAAAAATTTATAGCTACCGACCGATTAAGCTAGGGAAAAATGAAAACTAAATTTGACATTTTCGGTGATATCTCAGTTATTTTCAAAGATTTTCCAAACCGACACTGTACTCCCCCCGTTACGGGGATCCCAATGGCGAGCCATGAATTTGAACCACCCTGTACAATACACGGTTCTTAAGAAAGTTTGCGATTTTTAAGAATCTTGAATAGCTCTCTGATGATCTAGTTATCTACTAAATCCATCACGAGTAAATTAAATACTCTATTGACGTCGCAACTGAAATACCACTTCCTTCGCATGTAAAAGATCTACAAGATTTTGACCAGTATAAAGAGCAGTTCACCGGACTCTGATTTTGTTACAAAATGACGCGTGGCTCTAAGTTTGAATCCAAAAAAACATCGACTTCCGACAACGATTTTACGCAATTACGTCGATCTATTTGTGTGCGTGGTAATGAATTTTAAAATAAAGCGCGTCGTTTTCTTTTTGGTTCGGATTTGGCAGCTCCAGTTTTGTTTATGTGTCGAGCAAAACATACGCAAGTAGTCAACACTACAGGAAGAAGCCGGGCTGCTCAACATTAATTATAAAAAATTTTTGCTGCAAGAATTCGTCTGTCCGTCATTCTGGAAACTTCAGGAAGCGTGTTTCAACCTATTTGTCTGTCGTGACCAAGTTGTTTTCTTTTTTCTAAATGCGTTTTTGTACAACTGGTGGTGGTTTTTTGGTCAAATCCAAAGTATACACTTTGGGAAAGAAGATTTTGAATGTTGATTGTATTGTTATTACATTATCTTAATTTACGTGATTGATTACTGTTCAGGTAGGGAGCAATACGGAACGTTTCCATATCCGAATCGAAGTTCCCCACCATATTCTGAAACTGGGGAAATGTTTTCGGTTGATCTGTCGCTGTGGGCACGCGATAGGTTTATGGAAACTTTAACTTCCCCGGTTTACTCTAAAGTCTTGGTTGGATCGCGAATTGCTGTACGAGAAGGTGCCTCAAAAGTGTGCAAAGTGTGCTGTAACAATTTCATCGTGTTTGTATGAAGCAATTTTTTAGTTTTTTGACGAACCATTCGAAAAACCCGAAATTTTGTTTTCTCCGGAGAATGTAAACAACGCATACCGTCTCTAATGCCATTTCGTGCACATTTTGTCGTGCCGTCTGATCGATTTTTGGTTCACGTCCAGCTTCCTTGCACCATCAGATCACCGAATTTTTGCAAAAGGACTAGGCCTTCGAAATTAAACTGAAATGAAAAATCGAAAACACACTGCTTAAAATTTAATTAACCATGTCGTAGTTTGACTGCATGTTACTGCCTGTCAAAACCCCTTCGTAATTACAGTTTTTTACAATCCACTAGCCTACATAATGCATATGCACGCACTTTTTTTCTGGTAGCCACGTACGTTTAGCAAAGTCAATATTATTGTCTCGCACACGACATTTTAGATATCAAAGTAATACACGATTGATGTGTTGTACGAATTGCGTTTACTTAAACGTGCGCCTTTTCTGTTTATTTTAGGTCTTACCAGGCCACCGATGTACCCGTTTGCGGCGGGACAGTACCCCTACCCCATGCTTAGTCCGGAAATGTCACAGGTGGCAGCTTCGTGGTAAGTAACTCTGAGGGATATTGACAATTTTGATTTTTTTTGTGCATGTAAATTATTCTGAAACTTACGCTTTCAATCTGAGTCATAGAGTTGGTACAAGTGTACAGTGTGTCCTATTTTGGTTGAGACTGTAGTGTATCTTACCTGTTTTTAAAGATAAAAACTTGCGGTTTTGGCTATCCTTTGGCACAGGTGAAAATGAAAAGTTCGACTTTTTGGGATGTTATCGTATTTTACTATCCATGTAACATAAAAAAACTGCTTATTTTAGATATTTTTACGTAAAAACCAGTGATGTCTATTTTATTCATCAATTCCCGACCAGGCACCACTAAGGCACACCAAAGGCCCATCGTGCTTACCCCTTTTCTTTCGCAACCAGGTTCAGGGCCTGTTCCTCTCAATAAAGGATAGGACGCCGTTAGTTCTGTTGCTTCACCCTGCCCGGTTCCAGATAACTATTGCCGAGAAGCTGATGTCTGTCTCTGAACCTAGCGTCACAGTGACATACCACATACTCAGTAGTCCCATCTACCTCCACACAACCTGCACATGGGCTCCTCCACAAGCTTAATGTTATGCAGGTGATGGTTGACCATCTAGTGTCCCGTGAGGACACCGGTGATTTTCCTAATCTGTTAGAAGCTTAGAAGACCCAGATTTGCCAAGGGGCCTTGGACTGTCGAGTTCGGTTTCTTTTTCCCAGTGAGCCTGGAATTGACTGGTCACCCAATCTTTAATCCTGTCGTTGACAACGGAGGTAGCAATTCCTAGGGTATGCTGGAGCCCGACGAAGGCCCCAACACTTGCGAGGGGATGGGACCTGAGCGTTTCCTCTCAGATACGCCCGTGTCCATGGTTGCCTCGATCCGTTCACTCGAGCCTCTGCCTCCACGGCTAGGATCTAGTCCCATGGAGGCCCATGGCCAAAGTTGGTGTGGTGTTCATCGCTCGAGTGACTCCCAGACAGACGAGTGTCTGTACCTTGCCCAGTTGATTCTTGTAGGCCACCATACAGTAGTATTGGCCTTATCACTGCAGTGTAAATCCGATATACCAGTCAAGGAGATAAGCCCCATGTACGAGTACAAGCACGCCCATAGATATTCAGGGACCTTTTTGCTTATGCACTCTTTCCAAGTTAGGCGGGTGCCCATGATAACTCTCAAATAGTGCGGACGAGCCCGTCTAGCACCGGGCACTACGGCAGTGGAGACAACACTCCTCCTTACGGACATCCTCTCTTTGCCACATGGAAGCCTCAGTGTCCCCACTTTTTTCCCCGAATCTTTCAAAATGATCTTATGAAGTTTTTGAACTTCAGGAAGACTCTTAGTGTTACCACAGAAGGTCCTCCATGATCCTCGTTTAGACCTTCGAATGGTCCTTATACTTGCGCTGAGTGATCTTGAAATCTCTTGCATTTAAAAAATACTCACTTTGGGTGATATTTCAGGAACGGTGGTTTTTTTTATTACGCCACTGGATTTTATGTAAAAATATCTAAAAGAGGCGGCTTTTACCTTTTTTCGAGCTTACATAAATTTAGTTACAGACACCTTCCCACTATTGTGTCTTTGAAAAATTCGTATTGTGATATCCGGATCCCAAAAATGTAAATAAGTGTAAAAACACACAATGTGGCACTCATAATGTTCTCTAGAGTTCTATTAGGTTCACAGTAGCTCGGCGATGAGTAAAATGTGTAGACAGATTTTTACCCACTTAACAATATAGTTTCCTGATACGTTTTTCGATGAAATATGGATATTTTAGGATCACAAAAACTCAGTGAAGCGTATTCTCCTGATAATATCTTTTGTGAGGATAACAGAAACAAAACGATATGTAGAACCCTGCCCTCTTTCCATGATGCAATTTTTTTAAAGAAATTTATCGGGATCTATTAGAAACAGAATGGAGTGTAACACTATTATGTTCTCCTGATATTTTTTATTCATTTTATCAGGATAAAAAAATGCAAGGAGGTGTAAAAACTTATTCACACTCAATGTTCTCCTGATTCTATTTTTAAACGGTTGTAGCAGGATCACACAAACACATTGATGTGCCAAATTTATAGACGAATACTTTCACACATATTCTCCGATTCTCGTATTTCTTGCTAGGTATTTATGTTGTTCTGATACAAAGTTCATGTAAAGCTTATGGATGTACTTCTTTTCATTCATTTTGACCTAATACAACCTTTTCTTGTCAGAATTGTTGTATTAGGATCAGAGAAAAAATTGAAGATGTGGACTCATTATGTTCTTCCGATGCAAACTTTTATTTACAAAATTGTATCAGGATTATGATCAAAAGGTTGCTTTCACATTCTGATCGTGTAGAACGTTGTATCAGGATTATAAAAATACAGGTATGAGTACGGCAGACGCCCAGTTTACTCATGTTCTTCCGATACAAGTTTCACTTTGAAAAGAAATATGTCAGGATTTCAGACATGCAGCTCGGCGTAAACCTGGCCTCTTTGTATCTTTTATAGTCTCCTGATCACATAATTGTAAGGAGGTGTAAGCAGACTGACACTTTATAATGAATAATGTTCTCCCGACAATGGGGATGCACACAAATGTTGCAAACTTTCTAAGAAGAGCAAAAAATATACTTAAATGCTGTTTCCTGAGACATTTTCTCAGTTAAAACTTATTGTTTCTGGGACTAGAGAAATACCTCATGTATTATAAAAGTACTTTTGAGAAAAACTTCCCGATTTATCATGTTCTCCTGCTAGCAGGCAAATTGTACAAAATTATTCCTTCAAGTACTCGGATGTGATGAGATTAGAAACACCTCTTCGCAGGTTTTATTTTCTTTATAGAAACAAGTTTAAGCGAAAACAGTCTTTCTTAGGCTAGGGAAATACCTCCTCATTGATTATCGTAACTGGAAGAAGTTTACAAAATTTTTTCGATAAATATTCGTGTTGAGATTTACCTCCTAGCATTTTATTATATTCTCCTGGTACAAAAGTTCTCTAAAGTGTAAGGGAAAAAATGCGTTGAAATGATCTTTCTGAGGCTAGGAAAATCCTTCCGCATGTGTATTGCTAATCAGAGAAATTTTGCAAAATGATTCCTACAAACACTATGTATATTACGTTTAGAAACACTTCATACAAAAATTCTTCAAAGTTTAAGGGAAATTTGAAGATTTAAGATGTTGAAACGATCCTTCTGAGGATAGGAAAGAGCTCATTTATTATTATGTTCTCCTTGCTACCCAGAGAACTATTACAATTTTTTTCCCCCAAATTCTCTTGTCTTAGGATGAGAACACAATCTAGCATCTCTTAAAGTATAAGCGAATATGAGGTTTGAAATGATTCTTTTGGTGCTAGGTGAAGACCCATATTGTCATGGTAGGCAGAGAAATGAGAATTAGAAGCACCTCCACGTCCTTCTGATATAAAAGTTTTCGGATTTTAAGGGAAAATAAGGTGTTGACAGGATCCTTTTGAGGATAGATAAGATATGATTTACGTTTATTGTTTTCTTGGTAGCATGCAAAATTTTCTGTTTAATCGTATATGCATGAGGTACAGTAATGCATCCTCGCATATTATAGCAAAATGAAGTGTTGAAACTACTTATTTAAGGCTAAGAAAATGTTTCGTCATTTATGTTCTCCTGGTAGCCACAGAAATTTATCAAAATATTTCGTTAAATACTCTCTTATTAGGTATTGAATTACCTCCTCTCGTATTACATTCTCCTGATACAACAGTTCCTGAAAATTTAAGCATCAATAAAATGTTGAAATTACTCTTTTGATACTAAGAAAATATCTCCTCATTTATTATGTTCTCCTGGCAGCCAGAAAAATTTTACATTTTCCATTGAATACTGCATTATTAGAAAAATACCTACTAGCATATTATACTCTACTGATATAAAAGATATTGAAAATGTAAACAACAATAAAGTGGGAAAACTACTCTTTCAAGACTAAGAAAATATCTCTTCATTTGTTATGTTCTCTTGGTAGCCTATACAAATTTTACACAATGTTCCGGTAAATACTCAAAATATGTAGATAAAATTTTTATTTACTACGTCCCAAATATAAGAGAATGGATTAACCACTACATTACTCTATGTAGGTACAGAAATACCAATACCTCCTCGCATATTATACGCTTCTGATACAATAGTTCTTGAATCAATAAAGTTCTCTGTACATTCAGACCATAGGACTGCAAGAAGGTGTAAAGCTATAATCTTCTGACCCATAAAATGTTCTTTTGATACAAGTATCTCTTTTATGAGGACAACAGAAACATAATTAGGTGTTAAATTCATCCACTCGTACTCGTAGGTAAAATCTTGCGGCATCTTTTTTCGTTCTCAAATCGTTTTTATACGTTCAATTGAGTAGGGAAATTGATGCTATAGATCTGACTATTACTCGGGAAGCTAGTTTTGGATCCTATAGTTATTTTAGCTTTGTTTTGTTAAATGATGTTGGTGATATGGGCACAATCGTTTATAAAAGAGAACTTGTTTTACACCTTGAATGATCAGTAAAATATAATTGGTGAAAAGGTGCAGGTGTCAGTCTGTAAGTTTTACGCCTAGCCGCTTTCGAATCTGTTCTGACAATTCTTTTCCAAATCACAGAAACTCATGGTCATACACTTTCCCACAACATTTTCTTTTGTTGCATTAGGATCACAGAAACGCAGTAACTTCCCCTGATACATAGTCTAGTTTCAAAATTGTTGTATTACGACCATAGATCATAGAAACGCAAGAAGCTATAACAATTGCGATCACATTTTCACGGATTCTGATTTCCTGATATACAATTATTGATGATTATCAGGATCGCAGAAACACGAGAGGCTGTATAAAATGCATGTTTGTTTAGTGCCCTGATAAAATGTTTCTTTATTTTTAGGCACACGCCGAGCATGTATCCATTGTCACCTGGGGCGGGCTTTAGGAGTCCTTACCCGACAACGTTACCGATTTCGACATCAAGCCTTCCGACAGATTTATACAGGTTCTCACCGACGAGTTTGATCCCACCTCATCCCGGTCTGTCACCGCACGGTCCGCATCTCGGCTCGCACCCGGCGATCGTAACACCGGGTCCTAAACAGGAACTGCCAGATCTCAACCATAGGTACGCGAGGTAAGTGTCGTCACTTTTTAACACATTACAAAATTTACAACTCGGCGCGGCGTGTCGGCGGCGACCCTCTTTGCATATTAATAGAGTTTGCTAATTACAATCGTGAATAATCTGATTCGAAGCAGCCATGCGAGGAATGAGATCCAAGATTGGTTATCGGACGACCGGCCATTGGTCACTCGTTGCTCGGCAACCCTCTTCCGCAGTCGCGGACCAAAAGGGTTGCTAACGACGCCGCGCCCTTTCGAGTTCTTGTTTAGTTTTCATCTCCCTTGTGTTTGTCTTTTAATGTTTAAATTGTAAAAAAAAGTGTAAATTATTCATTGTGTCATTCTGAAAACGAGTATTAGGTAATTACGCTCCCGCCACGCCATTTTTTTGCGAACTTCAACGAGAGCGTGCTTGCTTCCTTGTGATGCAACGTAGAATGTTAATTATACACAGGGTACTTGAATTGCATATGACCCGGTGTACGACGGTATTGATTATATGTAAAGATGACGCGTTAGCAGGAGTGAGACTCGCAAATTCGTAATTACCACTCGTAGCGTGCAAGGCTTGACGACATTCTTTGTTCACATTCGTATGTACGTGATTACATGTGGGAAGTGACGAAGGGTTTTACGTAAATATGCAAAGCTACTTTAATAATAATGGACCGCTTATGTTAGTTCGGCAGCCGTTGCGTTACAGTCTGTCCGTCTGTTGTGCATCGTTCATTTTGAGTCCTTTGTTAATCATCGATTTATTTAAGGTACCTAGTTTGTTGTTTGTGATCAGTTTGAATTTGAGATGGTTCATTTTTTCATAACTAATTAGCTGATTTCTCCAATTTCATTTTGCTTTCTAATAAAATACACAGGGTGTCCGATTTTCGCACTTTTCGAATTTTTTGATTTAGAATACTTTTAATAGAAATATGAATATGATACTGTTTTGCTTTAATGCAGGCAAAATGCCACAAGATAATTTTATATGGTCGTCAAATTGTATGGGGACTTTTCAATAGAGAATTTTGTTTCTAGTTAGACACCGCCCACTATGATTTTCTGTTTTACTTTGAATACCTAATTATTTAATTTTCGAGAGAGTGCCCTGGAAAGACAAGAGGATAATTGCTGTCAAGCGTCGTTTGTTTAAAGTGTTTAGTAGTTTACATATTTAAAAATAATTACCAAAACACCTTTCTTAAATGAAGCAAAACGTCCTTAGAGCTACATTCCAACTACTTAGTTCTATTGCAAATTTTAAAATACTGGAAACATACAAAATTGAGTTTTATTATATAATTCTTATGAAAAGTACTGGTAAAGGGGTCATACACCAAAAACTCTTTCATTTTAAGATTCGGCTTTAAATTTCGCCCCGTTAACCAATACCGTATCTCTTAAAAAAAAGGGAAACCTTGTATATTTCTGCTTCATGAGGTATGCTCTCGATTTCGTGTGTCGGTCTGTCCGTGTGTAACTTTGCTCTCAGACCACCTATCGACTGCGATATTCGCTATCATGCCTGATGTCTGTCTATTTGTCCAAATATTTCTGGTTAAAGAGTTCAACATTTTCCACTTTCCTTTGTGTTTTTATAATATCTCAAAAACTATGCGTTTTTTCATAGCTTTTTAAAGTAGTGCGACATTTTAAACTCATAACCAGCTTTCTTTATACGACTTTTGGTTACGGAGAATAGGCAAATTTTTCGGAAAAAGGGTAATTCCTCGGGTGCAAGTAACGTTTCGAGTTAAATTGTGGCCAACTGAGTTGTGCAGGGTGACCAAATAAGAATGCGAGGTACTGTATCTGGGAACCTGTCCATCGTAGATGCTTGCGGTAAAAAAAGTTATTACTAAAACGGCCACGAGAAAAACCTGGAAAATATTTTTAAGTTTCTGAAATGGCCGCTAGGGGGCGTAACTGCAATCTGGAATCTAAAAAAGTGATGTTTCTGTGAATTCCGCTATATTAACCTAACAAAAAAATGTCCGGTCTTTGAAGTCGACGATAATCTGAATCTTTTGTTTGACAATTTTTCCTGTATCTTTAAAAATGAAGTGGTGGGGGGTATTCAAAGGTTTACGTAAAGAATACCCTGTATCTTCGAAACGGATGAGCCGATTTTAACAAACTTGGGTTAATTGGAAAGAGTTATTCTTCGGAAGTTTTGTTAGTTTCACATATCACCGATTGAGGGCTTTTTTCGACATTCCGACAGAAATGGATAATTTTCTCAAAAAAATTAAATGCATTGGTTCGATTTTTTTCATGAAAAAGTAGCTAAATGATACCTAAACAAGCTCGCGAATACCGCATAGCCACCCTGTACAGTGACAAATGGATTTGTTGTAACGGGACCCTGCTTCGCAGATTAATTTTTTTTAAATATTTTTACACAAGGAAAAATCGCATTTATATCTGTTTTGTACGCGTGGTTTATTACCATGGCAGCGGACCCCACTATCGAAGCAGTTCCCTCTCGGCGACACGAAAATTACATTGGAAACAAAAAATACTGCTTTGCTATTGATTTAAAATAGACGCAAGACTCCAAAGTTGTGCCGGTTCCCTTATCAGTATGTTATAAATAGCTAAATGCACGCGGGCCGGGAGCAGTAGTGTCTATGAAGGTGTACATACGTTCGTTCGAATTTAATAATCGCACTTCGTCCCCGTGTCTATAGTTACAATAGCGGAATTAATTAAAAGTGACCAATTATTACGGTATACGCGAAATATTCGTAGTTAAAATTATCGATATCGAATTTCGATGGGAAAAACAATTGAATCGCGTGATTGCCATAGCAACGATGCAGCAAGGGAAAATTCAAGTGGGCGTTGCATCGACGTTTCGATTATAAGTGGATTTATGGTACGCTTCCTGAATCATCGTCATTAATATTGCGGGTACGAACACATCAATTCAGACCTTTGAGCTGACGAGGATGGTGATCAATGTTTCATTGCCGATTTGATTAATGATTTGGTACAAGTTCCCTTTTCGTTCTATGGATGTCTGCTGTCTATCCATATTTTCTGAATGGGCCACAATTATAGAGAATGCCTAGGGTAAAATGTACGTTACACAGCAATCTCTGGCTATCAGCGCCGTAATCAATCTGGACTAAAGGTACTGTAGATTCAATTCAGGACCGTAAATTATTTCGATTATGTATTTTGAATTTAAAAAAGAATTTTTATGTGTAGTTCAAAAAGGGGAATTGGGGAAGGTTCTTTAATTTTTGAAAGGATTAAATCATCATATTAAAACTTGAGTTTATGTATTTCTTCATATAAATAACTACTAAAGCAACAATTTAAAATAATTAAGTCGAAGTTAATATTTGACCGACTGTGTGCCTCAGTGGTAGAGCATTGGGCTGCATAGCTGGAAGGTCGGGTGTTCGAACCTGGGCTGAGGTAAGAATTTTTCATCTTTGACAGGGAATTTCCTTACATCAGTTTTGGGCATTCTGCCGGCTACTCTGAGTTAGGTTTTCTTGCAGTTTTCCTAATTCGTAAGCTAAATACCGGGGTAGGTAAGCCTTCTGCAGGGGTATCTCTAAAAAGCATTATGCGGGTTACTCTGTAATTGGGCACAAGCCGGTTGGGGGCCCAGAACAAGAGAGACAATAAAAAAAAATTCAAGTCAGGTTAGATGTAAAAACGGTGATCACCGGCAACCTATATCTTATTTAAGAAAAGGTTACAACATTAAAATATTACAAATAAAATTGTTAAAAAAAAAATTTAGCGTAGATATACTTAAAATATAAAAAATTTCATTAAATGCTGTCTGTTGCGGTAAAGTGCCTAAAATACAAGCCGCATTTTCCTGCTGAACAGCTAAACTTAATCTTTGTTTTAAAAATTAAAAACAACGTTTCTCTTGTGTTTTTTCAAAAAATTTTTTACTAATTTCTGTAGTAATTTTTTTTTGCATATGGACCCCAAGCGCCAAGAGTTTCTATACCGAAAGGGTAGAAAATAAAACGGTCTAGTAGATTACTATACTTTAGCACCTTTTTTTTTCTGCGGACTCTGCGGCAGATCCAGCAGCTGACGTCGATGAAACAATGTTGCTTTGGCTAACTGTATCTGTAGGATTCATCGAAAACTTTATTTTATTGAAATATTTTAAGCCAAGGGGCTTAGAATTTTGCTATTTGTAGACCACATAAGAAGTAATTCAAGTGCATTTGTATTTCAATATGTGTAGTAAATCTCGTGTGTTAATCATCGAGTAGTTATGAAAAGAAAGATTAGCGTTTGGATCCGCTTCTTATCAATAAACGTAAACGCAATACAAATCTGTTTCATGCAAGTTATTCTCATAGGTCAATTCCGATAGGAATATTTTAATTACTTCCAACAAAATGGATATCTATGCAAATTCCTAAAAATAATCGACCACTACTTTTATACAAATCAAAATATCTCCTAGTAACAATCTCTCCTTAGAAAATGTCGCGTCCTTTAGATGATGGAAACAGGTCCCTTCGATGGTACAGTTGACTCCGTCATAAATGCAAAACTTTAGTGGACAAAACTGTCCATATGTATTGCGAATCTAAACAAACCAGCTTCAATTTCGCTAAAATAATACTCGAGGTCGTGATTATTTATGCCAATAAATAAATGAAATGCCAATGTTCCGCCGTGTGGATATTAATTTTGCCCAATTTACTCACTAGGTTTTGTTGCGGATAAATGCTTCGATTAATTGTCTTTAAATTCCCTGCCGAATGACGTCACTCAACTTTGGGGAACTCAATCCCGTTTTTATTTGAAAGCCGCTTCTCCGACTCGAAAATGTTCCTTTGCGTAAATTTTACCACACAGCCTTGCTACGTATGAAGCTATTAAGAATTTTTTTGCTCGTCCCGTAACTGACTGTAATTCGTCTATTCGTACATGTATAAAATTGGAGGTGATTCACACTTTGTCATAAACCCGCTTTCAACGATGCAACTGAAAACTAGCAGCAACGGCGGCTCTTGAATTTTAACCACTAAATATTCGCCAACACGCGGAATAAAACTTTTTTCAAAGGAAGACTGGCGGCAGTCGACAACATCGTGTAAACTGAACATACTCGCGCCCGACGCGACTCTGCTAGTTGGGGTATCAATCCGTTTACGTTTAACATTAGCTTAGTGCACTGCTGTGTAAAAATGGCACCTCAAACGTGGGATACCGATATGATTATGAAATTCGTCCAATAGTATACGGGAAAGAGTCTCAACATCCATTTTCTGGCCCATTATATATTCTTTTGCAACTTTTCTTAAGGCACATCACAAGATTCAGTGATAAAATAGTGACATAATTGGTGAAACACTGTAGTTATGTGCTCATGGGACACTGATGATGCGCACTCATCCATGGTTCCGGGCAAACTGGACATTCGGACTGGTTCCAATGCTTCGCGCAAACGTTAATTCACTAGACTAGACAGGTGCTGACCAGTCACTGGAATCCAGCTATCGGTCTACTTACTGGCCTCGTGTAAACCCGGCATTAAAGGCTAGCCTCGTCTGCCGAAAATCCCTTTCACAACTCGGTCTCACTAGCTTTTCATCTGGAAAATGCACACTTTGTTATGGCTCTTAGTTGAGACATACGTTTGTTCATGTTCGCTATGAGGCGGTATATGTGGCAATGTCAAAATACATTTTTGGACAGTGCTAAAGCGACCATCCGTTACATCTTGTAGATATAACTTCTTTTCTAAATAGAGGATTAAAGAATCTAGCCATCTTAAACCTTTGGGAATCGATTTTTACGCGTCTCAAGGATCAATGCAATGGAATCAGCAAACAGTTGTTTATCTCTGTTATTGACCTTCCCTCTATTTCAATGCTGGAACCAAAACCAGTGAAGAAATCGAAACCATCAAATGACCTTTGGTTTCTAAATTACTTTCGATACCTGGAATCCTTAGCTTCCTGAAATTTGAGAAAATGTTGCTCATTGATAGCTACACATTTCTAGAATTAGAATTGCAATTAATTAAAGATTAAACGCATAATAATTGGTTATTTTAATTAATGAAACAGCGTGGATATGATTTTTTTGTTATAACAAATCGATGCAAATCAACGTTAGGGGTGCGTTATCATTTAATAAGTTTTAAAATGATGAGTTTATTACATCAAATTATGCTAAAGTATCTCTTCGAAGCAGCTTCGGTTCAGAAATGTAAATACCTTAAGACTGAACAATCCTGTACAGATTAATTCCGCCACTACTAAAATGAAGTATCTTGGAAAAGTGGGAAAGTGCATTCCGTGCCTATTTTTGCTCCATTCACAACGCAGATTATGTATGGCATTAAAATGTTTCATCCACAATAAATTGCTATGATCCACATACTGTAACCTGTTGTTCCCATTATCCATTTTGGAATCCGTTATCGCCGCAAATATTTTAAAGTGCCAGTAAGACCTCCAATTCTCGGTTTTTGAAGATATTTTCAATTCCTCGAGAAAAATCGAGCAAAGCACGTTTGGCATACAAACTCCCTCTGTGTTAGAAAGCGTGTGTTTTCATATCGAATTTCCAGCTTTTTCCGTTTGCAGGAATCTTTCCGTAGTTCGGACGATTAGCAACCTCTGCGCTTCAAACTCCACCACCAACGGGCGGCGTAAGTGGTTCTGCAGTCAATCAATAACGTCGTTTAATAAAATTGTGGTATAATTACATGCATTTTAATGGGGGGTAGATAATTACAATTTAGGGAACCCTTTCAGGCATATGTAGAGCTCAGAATTTTTCGGACCGAACTCTATTTTGGTTAATTTCGCTAATTGATATGGGTAAATGATTTAAAAGGTCATGAAATGCTGGATAATGAAATGTACGAGATGCGCTTGTGCAGGGGTGTCGATTTTGTAAAGGGGATTGTATGGAAAAATGTTCGAGTTTAAAAACATAGTCTAGAGAGCCACGTGGGCTTTTATTGCGGTTACGGGATCGTTTCCTTTTCTACAGTTTCTTATGTTATTGCGTTTGGCTTCTGGTAATTGACTTATGTTCCGCCTACAGAGACAAACATGTTCATCAAGAATTGCACAAACGTTTGCTGTTGTTTCTATCTCTATCGCACTGCAATCAAAACAGACACTTGCACTATCCATTTCAACATTTCGATATGTGCGCCCAACGTCGTTGTGATCGGTCATAACTGTGCCGCTTTCCACCTGTCCACAAGGTTTTCCGAAGTATGCCTTTTTCTTTGTGAGTTTCTAGTGCGTTTCTCTTCAGCTACGTGTGTGTTTCCTTTTGGTGGCAGTGAGTGCATTTGTTTATACCAACCACGTGTTTTCTGTCTGTTTCTCTCCCAGGATAACAAAGGACGGGCACAGCCATTCATATTGATTTTCTGTGATAAACGGGGAATAAAAAACTTGTTGAATCTGTTTCGTGATTTTCGCACATATGACTACGGCCTAATCGTTTAAGTTACCCGAAAATGGAAGGTGCGGAAGAGCCACTAAATCTGACAATTAAGAAAAAACCGGTCGCTATTGTGGCCCCGTCATCAATAGTCGACTCGAACCAAAACTTAAAAACGATAAACAACAACAATAATCACAAAGCCAGAATCGACGACGAACTCACCATTAGTGCCTTTGACTATGACAAATACGAAGACGTTCCTCAAGACCTTTCCTTCAAGAAGCAGTGCAACGATATCTCGAACAACAACAAATCGGCCGAAAACCACAAATTCGGCTACAACGACAAATTAAACAACACGTCGAACCAGGAAGACAATTTCCTGCACAAGTACGTAAACGAAATCAAAAACAATTACAACAAAAAGTCCTTCATCGACAATATGAAAGAGCAAGAGCTGAAATCGAACATAATGAACAGCGTCTACAAAGCAAACGACATTTACGAAAATATAAACAACAAAAACTTCGCCGCGCCAGAAACCATCTACTCCATGATCAATTACCTGGCGGAGCACAAATTTTTAACCGCCTGGTATATGAATTCGATGTTCGCCGGAAATATCCCATATCCGCCCGGCGCCGTCTTTTCGCAGACCAATAACAACAGCATCCTAAACAATCTTCTCGAGAAAAAGGTGACGAAAGACAGCAGACCGTCGCTCGGTATAGACACCTTGATCAAAAACGAAATGTCCGATACGTCCGTAAAAAACGCCGACTCGCCGTATACAATGCTAGAAGGGTACCTTCCTGTTCGGAACCATCCGCCGTCAAATGCTAATATTTCTTTTCTTTTTCCAGGGCGCAATTAGACCAGAAGAACAACGTAAGCGACTCGAAGAACAATCAGGACGCGAACAATTCGGAAAAGAAGAAGCCCCACATTAAGAAACCCCTGAACGCGTTTATGCTGTACATGAAGGAGATGCGAGCGAAGGTGGTGGCCGAGTGTACCCTCAAGGAGAGCGCGGCGATTAACCAAATTCTGGGCAGGAGGGTAAGACGGTTTTTCTTTTCGTGTTGTTGGATATGAGTGAGAGAATTGGTGTGCACGGTGTCAAGTATTTGCGTTTTGAGTTACTCTGTAGATATTTTGGAAGAGGCGCCGAGCGAGATTTTGTATTTCGTCGATCCCCAAGCGTCATTTGCATTTGTAGGTACTTAATTTTTATGTTAATTGATCGTTGGATTCCCTTTTTTACATTGAAGTATACAGGGTGGTTCATTTTGACGATTTTTTTAAATGTCTTTTCAATTATTTCTGAATTTTTTTAATGCTTAGCTTTATAGCTTAGTAGAGTAGAGTTTTTTGTAAAAATATGACAGAAATACGCTTGAAGGTTGTACCTCATAACCCTCATCGTCAGTCTGATGAGTTTTAGATCCGTATAGGCACGACTAAGATTACCACATTAACGTTGAGAGTGACACTAATCATATTTGGTCTAAATTACATTAACGGACTGATTTAGTAGCGAGAACCTACACCATATCGTTTTGATTAAAATAGAGGGCGATACAGGGAACATGAAGAAGTAATTGCAAGAATGTTTTTCCAAAAAACACTCGCGTCGTCGTTTACTTTTCAAAATAATCCTTATTTTTGACAGCTATCGATTAATTTAAAGTGCACTCAACTTATGAAAAATACATGAAACGAAATAAAAATTAATGTAATAAACGTATGTGCCTTCCCCTCTGCCGCTTTATAAATTAAAAAAACTTTTCACCAACAGAACCTGCACTAAAAAGCTAAAATGTTTTTGTTTAAGTTTTTTATTTTTTCAAAAATAATCTACGGGCGTTCCCCAGCAAGTGCTTACCGTACCATTCTAATTAGAAATTTTTCCCGTTACTCCCTCCTGTAGTGATAAAGTGATAAAACCGGTATTTCTTTTAGTCGCGTTTATATAAAAAAAATATATCCGAAGGTTCTATACTTTCTAAGTCTATCTCGAGATTTCTTAAAACTACGATTTTCAAAAGGGTAATTTTTCACTCATTCAATATCACTCATCATAGAACTCGTACAAATCGATCTATAGTTCTCATTGTTCTCGAGTTAGACATGGAACAGACAGGCGGTCGAACAAAACAAGCACAAAAAGGGGAAACACCAACTATTACTTGGTTTTTTGTTGTTGTGAATCTTGGATTTTGGAGAAACGCTATACCATTATCTTTTGTATACCTTATATTTTTATAAGCGAGTTGTGGTGGCGTGGTGCATCGCTCGCATTCGCTATTGCCAGATGCACCACTAACTACTACCAATGAATACACAATGTTACTACGGTAACACGTTGAGGTGCGCAACTGATGATTTTTATTTTGGAAGTTTATTTATTTATTGAATACTCAAAACAACAGATACATTGTATCCAATGACAGTTTTGAGGACTAAAATAACTCTTAAATTCCGTGATATGAATTATGAATAAAAATAATTGATGAGTATAAGGTAACGAAAAAACAAAAAAAAACTAACTAAATAATCATTAACTGTTTCTTAAAATGCGATCATGTTAAATCGAAAATTTCCAAAGAATGAAAGCTATTAAACGTTGTCATCATGCGTGTAATCGGTGCTGTGTGATTTAATAAAATGGATTTAGATTGAGGTATCTTAAATAATATGAATTTACATCTAGTTCTGTGGTCCGGAACATTGAAATTAATTAGTGAGAGCAAATGTGATGAACTCACTTGATTATTTAAAAGTTTATAAAAGAAAATTAAAAGATGATTTCTTCTGCGGTCACTCAAGCTTTTCATACAAAATGTTTGCAAAAGATCCGAATAGTGGTCAAAGAGGGGATATGTTGATGTAAGTCGGTACTGCATACGTCTTATGAATTTTTTCTGGACCATTTCAATGGCCTGCTGGTATTTATTTGCATAAGGTGCCCGTATAATGGATGCATATTCAAGATGTGGCCTGACCAGTGTGTGATAAAGAATTTTATACGTACTTCCGTTTTTAAGATCTTTGGAAGATCTGAAAATGAAGCCCAGACTTGAATACGCCGCTTTAATTTTGTTTTCAATGTGAATGTTAAAAGACAATTTCTTATCAAAAACGATACCAAGATCGTCTTGGTAATCTACAGTTTCCAAAATTTGACCTGCCAACTTGTAATGAAATAATGCCTCCTCTCTTTTTTGCAAGAACCTCAACGATTTGCACTTTTTAATATTGAAATGCAAATCATTTTCCTTACACCACTCCATCACTGCATCTAGATCATATTGCAGCTTCAAACAGTCGGACAATGACCGTATTGGATGACTCAATTTGAAATCATGAGCAAAAAGTAAAGGATCACTAAATGTTACAACGTCAGGTAAGTTAATGAGTAACAGAAAAAGGAGAGGGCCAAGATTGGATCCTTGTGGTACTCCCGAAGAAACATTAAACGTATGAGATGTGCAGGAATGAAATGTAACCCATTGTGTACGCTCGGCAAGATATGATATAAAGAACTTTAGCAGGCGGTCGGAAAAATCAAATTTATATGGTTATATGGTTTACGCTGTCGAAAGCTTTCGAAAAGTCAGTGTATATGACATCATATTGAATTACTTTTTCTAAGGCTTTCGATACGTTTTGTGAGAATTCAACTAAATTTGTTACAGTGCTCCTACCCTTCATAAATCCATGCTGTTTATCGGATATATCTGTTTTGACATGATTGTATTATGCGTTTTTGCAACACTTTTTCAAATATTTTGGCAGGTGCCGATAAGACAGCTATTGGTCTATAGTTTGCAATGTTTTTCTTGGACCCAGATTTATGAAGTGGGCATACTTTTGTTGATTTCCATTTAGAAGGAATTTGTTAGCTTTAATTGAAATATTAAATAAAATTTTAAATACGGGAACAAATATATCTTTGCAACCTTTTAAAACATACGCAGGAATACCATCAGGTCCTGAGCATTTCTTGGGCTTTAATTCATCAATTGCTTCACCGATTTCTATCTCATTTATCTCTGTTATACACAATGGTTCCGAAACAGTTACTTTGGTATGGTTTGGTTCAATTTTGTAAGTCATTGTTCATTATGCCTCGTATCCGCGCACGGTTTCCCATAATTTGCAAAATTTCTTTATATTTGTCAACCCCCCCCAGCGTTGCAATTATCATCGATAAGTAGCCTGTTATAATTTCCCTTTAAAGCCCACTCATGCGCAATGAATAACTTCCCGATTTGTGGAGCAATTTAATCGAAATTTTTGTTGTAATAAAAGCAAACCAAATGGAAGTGCCAAAAGTGTTCGAATAAATTTGATAGAAGAGATCATGACCCTACATCGAACTTAAATCTTGCGTTTTTCCGAAATATTTGGAAAATATACTTCACAAAATCATTGCTTGTAATATTTTCAGGTCTTACTTTAATATACAGTGTGTTCAGGATAAGAATATAAACAGCATGGGGAAATCGGAAACCATAAGAGATAGACGGTCTGTTAAATTAGAAAAATGTTGCGTATTGTAGGGCTTAGTAAGGTGATCTTTTAAAATTCGGAAATTCTGATCAGTTCCGAAGATATTGGAAAAAAAAACGAAATTAACTATATTCGTTTTTATCTTTCTCTGGTCCTGTTTCAAAAGATATTAAAAGGCAAATCACACTTCGTCATAGGTACTTTTGAAGCTCCCCAAGATGGTATCCATAGATTTTAATTGCGGTGTTTCGTCTTTGAGAAACCATCATCAACTTCATATTTTGATATGGACCGGAAAAAAGTACATACTGTATTGTGTAGCATTTTTTATTGCAAATACACCAAAATGTTAAACATTTAATAACAAGCATTTCTTCTGACTAAAATAAACAATTTTTAACCTTTTTTTTAAATAACGAACAATTGAAAATATACCTACTCTCTAGATAACTGATACGTGAAAAATTATAACGAAAACATACTTTTTACTGCAATTTTTTAGTAAACGTAAATAACAGTTTAAACTCCACTAGGACTGAATTGTTTTTCGACTTTTATTATTTTAACCTCCCTTGACTGTATTTCGTATTAACGTCATAGGGTGGTTTTTTGCAAAAAAAACTTTTTAAAGAGGCGTTCTTTCCCACTTTTAAAAAATTGGTTAAAAATTTCCATTCAAGATAGCGCACCCTCAGAAATAGGTGCAAACAATTGTAACCTGATCTTCATGGACGATATTTCTGTATGGAATTTTAGAGACAAGCTATACGAATCTATGCGCATATTTCAAAATGATAGACTACCTAAAATTGGAATTTTGTTTTGCAATTTCCAAAAATTAACTTTTGGATTCGCTTTGTGTTGCACCATACTCAAATTTCGTAATTTGTTTTTTGGACATCGGCTTTCGTAAGGTTGGAATTTTTGAAAAACGCTTACAGATTGGGAAAGTGCTGGAGAAAAAAATAAATGCCCATCTTAAGATAAATACACTGTAAGCCTAACTTTTATTTATTTATTTTTAGTTTTCATAATAAATAAGTAAAGCACAATTTCGAAATTTTCTGTTTTTATTGTAGTTTTCATTAAAAAGTGCCTGCTTTGATACACTGTGTACAGGGTGATTCATATTCTTGGCTCACAATTAGTGAGACTTTGAAAATATCTGAGATATCTTAAAATGTATTTAATTTTCACTAGCAATCGGTCGGAAATGGACTGTTCCCGTTAGCACCTTTTCGAAGAATCTGAATCTGTTACAAGCTATACTACTTTCTTATGGACGCCATATTTGTTTTTTACGGAATGAGATAGAGGACAAAAAAGAAATTCATTTGAATGTATCGCTGTCATAGCCATGTTCATTCAGGAACATCTTATTACTGGTGGTTTTTTTGTTGAGAAACAAATGTAAAACCTTTGATTTTGAAACTTTTCTTGTAAGTGTATATATAGGTAAAAGAATGGATTGTGGCACGTCATTATTTGTCTTTTTTTGTCCTCTATCTCATTTTCCGTAAAAAATCCAATATGGCGTCCATAAGAAATAAGAAAATAGTACTGTAGTAGCTTGTAACAGATTCAGATTCTTAAAAAAAGTGGCCATAGAAGTTGCTAACGGGAACCGTCCATTTCCGACCAATTACGCTAGTGAAATAAATACTAAATTTTCTGTGATATCTCAAGGTTAAGTGTAAGAACAGATGGCATTATTTTACTGCTAATCGGAACTTCGCCTTATACTAACATTATCTGTTGTTTATTTTTCTTGTTTTTTTAATAAAGGCAACATTATTATTATTATTATTATTTATTTTCAAAGATTTTTCAAAAATGTTAAATGCGTTTTTTGTCACGAAAAGGTACAACCATTCAACCTACACCGTTATGGAGACCCCAATGGCGAGCCACGAATTTGAATGTCGGCTGTTTTAAAGAAGACTTGTGGTTTTCGAGACCCTGTACCACTTTTTTGTGAAACTTTTAATACCTCAAACAGAATCACTCTAGCTAGGTTTGTTTCTGAGATACAGGATGCAAACGAAAAGCTTGACTTTTTGGCATGTTATCGTGTACTACCCATGTAAGATAGAAAAAAGGGAGAAATTGCCTATTTTAGATCTTAAAAAGTAGAACCAGTGGACCACAGTTTCTGAGATTTGAACTATTATTGGTAATTTCATTTTTTTTCCTGATTACATTGAGATATCACAACCTATATATTTTTAAATTATAACCATGAAAACCTTATTTTTTCTACGGTTTTTAAATAGTAGCCCATGGATTCATTGCGCTAACGTAAAAATATCTAAAACAGGCAGTTTTTATCATTTTTCTACTATGCGATCAAAAATGAGTTGTTGTCGACGTCGACTCGACCGCCACTCATTTTTGATCGCCCGTTATCTAGCAAACGTATCTAAATTGTTTGTGGTATTCAAAGTTTCACAAAAAGTGGCACAGGGTCGCGAAAACCGCCAGTCTCTATCTTTAAAAACAGCTGAGATACACTGCAGTCTCAGTCATAATAGGACACACTCTACATAAATAGATAGTCAAAATAAATCATAACGAAAGAAAGGATTTATCTCTTAACGTAGCACCAAAGATAGAAGCAAGTAGTTTATTAAAATATTCTTTTTGAATTCTAAGACTTCAGGTCTGGTGCACCATAATAGCTCAACGCTAGGTAGGAAATTTGGCTAGTGAAGATGCAAGCATTACCGAATCTAACGATTATACTAAACTGAGGTCGAACTATCATGCTGCAGCTGCGTGATGGTGAAATGAAATATATAAGCTCTTAAACTATAAATTTGTGATTTCTGTTTACAGTGACGCTACTCGTTTTTGGAGCACTCTGTATATTCAAAACTATTAGGCTCCGGTTTTTTACTCAATACAATGTTTTGAAACAAATATAGACCAATAGTTATTCAAAATGCAACTACAATATTGCTAGACTTACTAGAATCTTTTATGGTCTGCTTCTTTATACCGTCATTGCAGTTGTACATAATTCCTACCCCAAGCCGTATTCTACAAATATGACAACTATTTTTGTGTTTCTACTCCCATACGCTATGCAATGCATTTATGGTCTGCAGTCATGGACAAATTTCAGGGAATTGTGTCCATTCAATCAAGGATTTCTGGATTATTGCTTCGATGAGTATTGTGTAATGCAAAACTTTTGAATAAAAATATGTCAAACTGCTGTATATAATATCGAAAGAATGCCGAAGTTCTGCATGAAGTCTTCCATGGGTCTCAAAATGTATAATGCCTACTTTGTTAGAAAACATTAAAATTCCACTCGGAATAATTTGGGATGCAATCTTTTGTAAGTGGAATTTGATGTTTAATACCCCGAATCAGACCGTAGAAGTATTCTAGAACACCTCCAAGGTAATTTTGGCGAATTTACTGTGTGTAGTGGAATGTTTTAAGAGCGAATGTAAAACTGTGTGATTGTGTAGTGGCACTCGCTGAGCCGCGAGGAGCAGGCCAAGTATTACGAGAAGGCGCGGCAGGAGCGCCAACTGCACATGCAGCTGTACCCGGGCTGGAGCGCGCGGGACAATTACGGTTACGGCACCAAGAAGAAGAAACGAAAGAAAGAACGCACGACCGTAGAGTCCGGAGGTATTCGCTCGCGCACCCTAACCACACAACAGAATAGGTGGACGCCATTTTTTTTTCTCTCTAACTCAAAATGGCCTGCACATATTTTGTATTCTAACTAAATGCCCCGGAACTAACTACACATGCATGACTATCACTAATTTCGAGTTTGCTCTGGCTGTGTAGTTCGGCCGGGTGCTGGGAGCGGGGTTTCTGATGACGTGCATACGTGTCGTGCATTTTGGAGTGGGATGGTCGGGTCGGCCAGGCTGGCAGTGGCAGGTGCATTTGTGGCGCGCCGCGGCTTCTTGGTGCCTGCCGGTACGCGACTTCATTTGATTGTGTTTTGTTTAGTGGCACGCGTTGGGTCGTGAGGAGCAGGCCAAGTACTATGAGATGGCAAGGCGCGAACGTCAGCTGCACATGCAGCTTTATCCCGATTGGTCTTCGCGCGCCAATGCCTCTCGCGGCAAGAAGAGGAAGCGCAAACAAGACCCTGCCGACGGAGGTGATGGCCTACTCGCAACTTACTGGACTAGTTTTTATTCTCTAGTAACTTGCGAGCCGTACCTATTCTTTCTTTGCATGTTGGGTTGGGGTAAGACGAAGGCTGGCCGGCCAGGACCTACTCTGCTCCCATTATTTTTCTGGCGCAGAGCAGACCCTACACGTGATGGGGACTCGTATGCACGTTGCTGTCACTGGGGCAATCCTTAGCTAGTAGACACACTTGCATGTATTATCCTCCTTCCGATCCTATTTTGCTGTAGGTGGTTATGGCCAAATTGCTATCACTCGATCACATTCGCATGCTTCAGTTTAATGTCTTGATATACTCTACAAAGTAGCTGTAGTTATCACATGTAGGTACCTAAGTAGCCGTAGATCATTCACTTTCGTAGTTTCTAGCTTGCTTATGATGTAATAATATTTAAGCGATATTTTCATTTGTTTATTTCAATAGGTAGTAATATGAAGAAATGCCGGGCGCGGTACGGTTTGGATCAACAGAGCCAGTGGTGCAAACCTTGCAGGTATGTCGTGTTTGTTTAATTTTTTTCTTTGTTTTTGGATGAATGATTTTTTTTTGAACGCACCAAATTGATTAAGGCCTTTATTTTCAATCAATTTGGTTTCTGTACGGGGTTTGCTATTATTGTGCTTGCCTTTTAGCCCTTTATTTACTACACTATGCAACCTCGTACACGATTGGTGTTTCTTATCTATGTGGAAAGACTGTATTTATTTTATATTTGATGTGTTCAACGGGAGACACGGTTTTTTCATTCTTAATATCAGAAAATGTGTCTTCCCACAAAGAGAAGGACCTATTGGGTAGTTATCGCACTTAGACATTGCTGTGGAATTGAAAGCGGAACAATCGTTAAATTGCAAAGGGGCATTGGCAAACGAGTACCTACTTGCATTAGAGACACATTTTCTGATTATTCCTGCACTGTTTTTTTTACGCAAGTTTGTCTATTTCATTTTTTTTTAATATTGTAAGCGTATGTCAGTGGAATGCTTTTTGTCTTAATGTTACCATTTTTTTATATTACGTATGTATGTGGAGTCTTTGTGTGTGCCCCCTTGTATATATAACGATTGTTTAGCCCGGAGAGCAGCGCGCACAGTGGTAGCAGCTCTACGGCGGTACACACCAGTCTCTTGCATTCGGCAGGCAGTGCTGCCTCTGTCCAATCCCCTCAAGAGCCGACCTACGTCAACCTGTAGGCTGCCTATGGGTGGCCCGCGGTTAGTTCAGCAGCAGTGTTCCATGTTAGATTGTTGTTTGATTTAAAAAAAAACATGCTTGGCAGTTTTTTTTCTCTTTGCGTGTAAAATTTGTGCATGAAATTATGTTCAAAATTGATCTGTAACTCAATCCTCCTAAGCGATCAGGCACTGTATGTTCCGCTAGTGAAACATGATGTACAATGCCTGTTTGGAGGAACCTTGGTGTGACTGTCCCTAGTTTATGATTACAAAATAATTGCAACCGTTTATTTTTTTTTTATAGATTTTTGGTTTAAATACTAAGTGTGCCCTCAAGGAGATTTGCAATTGATGTCAGAAAATGTTGGAAATCTCCGGGTGCCACGATATTTATTGGCATGATTTATGATTTCACTTTTCAGTGAGCATGTTGAGGTTGTGGACAACATTAGTTAGACGTGTTTTAAGTGTGCTAATAAAAGTCGTAGACATGAACTAATATCTCTTTCGTCTTCTAGACGCAAGAAGAAGTGTATTCGTTATCCTGAATCTGGTGATAGCAACGATGGTAATCAATCAGACGACAATCTAGGCAGCTGTGGTAGTGTAGGTGACGCCCATACGCCTCCCGAGGAAGATGCCAAAAGTTTAAGTCATTCGATGTCCAGTCCCAGCGGTTTATCAGGTCTCAGTAGTTTAACTAGTCCGGGCGGTATAATTCTTCCGAGTCCCTCGACGAGTGTCGCAAGTCCTTCTGTTAGCGCGGCGAGTCCGTACATGCTGCAGAGCCCGCTTACGCCGCACGAGGTCTTCGAATGTAATAAATTACCGCCAGCACCTCCTCTTGTACATCAGCAACCTCATCGTAATCCAGTGGGCACGAATCCTCACGACGTAAACAATCCTCTAAGTGTAAATCAATTGACGGGACAGTGTGTGAAAAATAAACCGCCTGACGGAGGGGGTAAGGACCCTACCAGATCTATGATTAGTGTCACGTAGCCTATGCTAATGGACCTTGTGACCATTTTTTATTAAGACAAAAGACTCGAAATTTGGTACGGTATTTTGTTCCCATTTTTATCACGGTGGATGAACTTTTATTAAAATCGTGTGTGGTGATCTCATAGACTTACTGCTAGTACCACGCCATCTATTTAAATGTATATGTCATTTGCCAAAATAGACAAGGTGTCGCAATTATTTTTAAAAAAATGTTGTCACTTTTAGGGCACAATTTGTGTTTGTTTTTAAAATTTACTTATAAGTACAAAGCATCTATTTTAACAACCGGTACAGGATACTATACAAAAATCATCGTCAGTGCAATAATCGGTATTGAATTCCAAAATTCTGTATCTTGTACACATTTTAAATTGCATATAGTGTGTTTTCTTCGTATTGGTCTTTTTTATACACGAATAATGGTCTAATTTTTTATTTCAGCAATAAATTGGCAACCATGTGGTACGACATTGATTGTTACATCCACATAATGTGCTATTGCAATATTTTGTTAAAATGTGTAATTAGGTTGTACATAAGAGATGAGAATGTTGCATATTGTAAAATTTTTTTTGAGATTGATATTTTATTTGTTATATGTGGTTAAACTTGCGAGCCTTCGTACTCCACTTAGTTTGTTTATACGTTTTCAAATTGCTTTCGAACTTGGCGAAGGCAAGATGAGAGTTGCTACATTACTGTTGATAGTTCTCAAAAACTACACTAAATAGTGTTCAATATTTTTCTTTTATATTGAAGTAAACTTGTGATACTTTTAATTTTAGTGTTACATTTAGATCCCTCAGGACTTGGCATTTAAATAAGTTACAAATTTTATTTGGACAGAAACGTTGAAATTATAATTTTAACGTTTATTTCGTCTAAATAATTTTAATCATTTACAATTATTGTACTTCAAATGTATGCAAAGTAAGCTGTTACTCAAATAACAAAATATCTTCATGTGCCATATACCATTTCTTTTTGTAATCGTAAAATAGAACAGAATTTGAAGTATAATAATTGATAAAGTTTGCGACTGTTAGTTTTAATGACTTTAGTTTAGTTTTGGATACGTGCAATGTGTACCTACTGGTTTGCATGGGGTGTATCCGTGGACGAGTGATTGGTATATTGATGCGTCATATTTTTAAACCCGTGTTTCATTTGGCTCATTAGTTTTTACAGAGGCAAATTACGTTAACAAGTCCGTTCGAGTGAAGACCATTGTTAAGTCTTTTGTCCATTGTACATTTTCTCACAGCAGCATTGTAAATGGTCTGCGTTAGTGTACCATTATAGATTAAAAATTATATAAATATATAAATAAATCGACTAGAAATAATTATATAGATGTTAATGTCCTTGTAAGTAGCAACTGTTCGTATCACCGTTTTAGGTTAGGTATATTCAATACAAAACCTCATTATCTTTTACTATTGTTTTAATATTTTTTTTCAGTCTTATGTTTCACCTAGGTATTCGTCCGTCGACTGAAATGCTTGATGGCAGTTTTGTCATTACAGTATCGTGCGTTGAGAGGCAATCGCGCATTAATGGGAGGAGTTTAGGAAATGGATTGAAGACTCATAATTTTAAGCTTTACCTATTGGAAGTCAAAACAGGCAACATGTTCTTTGGGATCATTTGCTTACATATGGTAAGCGTCACAGAGAAGGTGAATGGTAAAATGGCTAACTGCTAGTGGCAATAACTACTTTAGATAATCAAGTCAAAATTCGCAGATCGAGCGACTCTTTCATTTTCGAGTGGGTATATCAAATCCTAATGTCTATACCGGACAACGAATGGCGATTAGTACGCCACTTTCCTGCTTGTTGCTCTTGTAGACTTATTGACTATATCAGTGCAGTATGTTGCTAATTTCACTGTGATGTAAAATCAATTGATCTTTGTATAACCGATTATGGAATTTCGAAAATCTATTAAAGACTTGGATTACCAGCTTACATACAATACCGATAACAGGATATACAGGTGTGGAAAAAATTATTGCGGGTCAGACTTACAGTGGCGTACGTAGAAATTTATTCTGGGGGGGGGGGGGGGGTATGAAATAGAAATTTGGTTGCACAGACGAAAAAGATTAGATTAGAACAGTATTTTATTTCTTACTGCTGACAGGCCTCTTGCTTTTGCTTCAATTAGTCAACGAAAACTTTGAATAATAGGTATATTTATGGGCAAAAAAACAATTTCGACAAAAAATTCAAAGGGCTGTAACTTTTGATCTAGTAGTCCGATCTTGAAACTGTTTGGAATTATGGATTCTACAGGCCACATTCTATAAGAAAATATTTTTTTCCGGTCGATCTGAGACAATTTTTTTTTCTGGGCAAAAAAAAGGCAGTTATTACCTTCCTTTTTTACCAAAAATCGACTGCACCAAAATTTCTCAGGAAAAAACTTTTTCTTATTAATTTGGGTGCGTAGAATCCAAAACGATTCGTACTTTTTCGATTAGACGTCTCAATCAAAAGTTATGGGCAAAAAACCAATTTCGACAAAAAATTCAAAGGGCTGTAACTTTTGATCTAATAGTCCGATCTTGGAACTGTTTGGAATTATGGATTCTACAGGCCACATTCTATAAGAAAATATTTTTTTCCGGTCGATCTGAGAATTTTTTTTCTGGGCAAAAAAAAGGCAGTTAATTACCTTCCTTTTTTACCAAAAAACGACTGCACCAAAATTTCTCGGGAAAAAACTTTCTTATTAATTTGGCTGCGTAGAATCCAAAACGATTCGTACTTTTTAGATTAGACGTCTCCATCAAAAGTTATGGGAAAAAAAATTCCTGTTTTTAAAATTTAAAATTCTTATTTTCGTCATTTCGTGAAAGGCAGGACGCAGGTACCTCGCCTCAGTAGCAGTACTAAGTACCTGATACC